CAATTAGCCACAAAATTGAATTTTTAAATAATAGACAAAATTTGAAGGACCAAAAATGTAATTATACCAATGAATATCAAGTTTCACGTGGGCTTCTCGTTTCTCCTCCATTTTCTTCATTTTATCTTCTTCCTCATTTCCCTCTCCAAGTTCTTTAGCAAGGTAAGATCTTGAACTCTCTTATAATTTGTTTTTGTCCTAATAAACCCCCTAACAACCTTATTTTTGAAGATTCAAGCTTTGAGTTTTATTTTGCATGAAAAAGAGGAGTTTTCATCATCCAAGCCTTGAGGAGAATGATTGCTAGTTAAAGGAAACTCATTTCGGGTTTCTAAAATTAAGGTAATGTATTTTTAATCCTTCGGAGTATTAAGCTTTCATAAATTACAAGTATTTGCTAAGATTTGTGTAGTTGAGCATATTAGAGTTTAAATTTGATTTCAAGATTAAAAGACGTTTTAAGTGTTATTAATGTGTTTTATGACACCTAGGAACCCTAGTTAACTCCCAAAAACTTCAGTGAATGATTTAGAATCAAACTATGGCTTTTAGGATGATTATCAAGTGTTTCCAGAGCCTAAAAACATCCATTCCAGGGTTCGAGTATCGATACTGGGATGAACAATATCAATATTGGTTAAATTGGGGCAAAAATTAGGGATTTCAGGCAAAGTGTATCCATACTTTCCAAGAGTATCGATACATTAACCTAGAAGTATGGATACTTTCCAAGAGTATCGATACTTTCAGCAACATAATGCATTTTTGGTACCAATACTTATGGAGGTATTGATACTTGACCCTAGGATATCGATACTACAAGTAGAGTATCGATACTACTCACTTCGAATGGTTATATTTGACCCGTTTAAGGCCCGTAAGATCTAAGTATGATCCGTCATAGAAGACTTAGTCCGTGAGGGACACAAATGACCAAGCATGCCTAGAAACACCCGTAAGAGCAAGTTATATCAGGAGTAACCATATTAAGCGTAGTAAGCCAAAGTATCTTTGAACGAGGACAAATACAAATAGTCATGACCGAAGATCGTTACAGGAGACATCTGACAAGTGGTACGATGTTTATGTCAGATTCGGTGGTCACAAAAAGTGTGAGTTTTAAGGATATTAATGAACCCGAGAAGAGTAAGTCGTATTTTTTAGTTCAAGAGGTTTTGAAGGGAAGTACGATAAGATCGAATATAGTACCACTACTCAGTAACATAATCGAGCCAGATATCAGGCTAGCCAATTTCTCAGATAATAAGTAAGCTTTCGGATAACGTTATAGATGAGAGAACGAGCGAGATAACAATTAATATGACTTTGACTTCGCCTTAGTGAGTCCAACTATGTTAAGGCATAATCAGGTTACCTTAGTTGCCCTAGTGGGGCACTATCAATGCGGGAGACACTTCAGGGCTAATTAGGGTGCGAGACCCGAACACTTGTGAGGAGTGGGTTAAAAATATCAATATCATATGGCCTATGGGCTTTATATATGCATGGTTAGTTATGTCAGTTCAATTCAATTGGGTAAGCTTCTGATGCACGTAAATTCTAGTGAGACCAAGCCAATGCTTCAGATTGTGTGAGAATTTTACCAATGCTAGGTGACACTTGGTTCCCCTCAGTGATATACCTTATGGTTATGTGAGAACTAGGAGATCATCCAGTATGTTTGTGGGAATTACGCATATGCTATGTGACACCGGGGTTCCCTCAGTAACTAGTGTCTGAGAGCTATGTAAGAACATATAGTAGTCAGATTTGTATTCAAATAATGCACAATATGTTAGGATTGCATTCAAATAATTCACATGTGCATCAGTGTCACATTAAGATAATATATAGCATGTTTAGTCATTAGGGTTAGAGACACTTTCGAGGTGTTCTCATGGCGAGGCTCTTAGAGGAGGACTAAGGGAAGCGTGAGACTCTTATACCTGAGGTAGAGCAGCAAAGCCTAAGTAGGTAGCACTAGATCTAGGTCATACATGTACCTAATGCTTAGTGTCATGTCTTCAGTATGCTTTTGTTTATGAATTCTTATGCTGCTCTAGATTAACGATTATACTGTTGGGCTTTATAAGCTCAACCTTCGGAGGTTTTTCGTGGGCAGGTTTCTAGTTTGGGCTATTCGTTGAGCACCATCATAGCAGGACTTTTAACATCTCCAGTAGAGTATTATTTTGTAGCTTTAGTGGACATGTATATTCACAGAACCTTTCTTATGTATTTGAGTTGTAAACTTCAAGATGTATTATTTTGTTTTAAATTATGTGTCACAGAGCTCCGATTTTGTAAAATGATTTTATAACAGTTTTATGAGTGCTTAATTTAGTCATTATTTTATTGTTAATTACTCCTTTATTTGTCGATTTATATTGCTAAGTTGGGCGTTTTATATTTTTTTTATAGGATAATGGATTCCAAAAACTATGCTAAAATGGACGAATTCTGTAAGATTTTATTTTTCTGGAATCAATACTGAACCAGTGGGCATGACTTCGCTAATGTGGTGACAAGTTAGCATCTTCTAGAAGATCAAGTAAACATTTTCGTGCAAGCAAAAGACTAAGCATCCAGACGTGAATTTAGGATTTATCTTTATTTTGGGGATTTATTTCAAACAATTATGAAAATTATGTTTTGTAATTTATTAGAAATTATCTTTGCAATTTTTTAGGAATCATCTTTTAGGGTTTTTTGGGTTTTTGAGCACTATAAATACCCCTTGGGATAAGCATCAAATCAACATTCACATCTCGAATTCTCTGAATTTCTTTGTTCTTTTTTTTATTTCTTTTATAAAGTTTTTACTTATTAAGGTTTTTTTATTTTTCTTTTAAAATGCTAAGTATGATTTCTATCATAATTAGCTAAGTTTCTCATAGTCAAAGGCTGAAGCAATGACTCAATTCCGGTCATGATAATTGAAAAGCACGTAATACCCTTTGGGTTACATTCTCAGTTTTAGGGAATCAAGGATCGGTAATCGACCATCCTTTTATAATCAAAATGATTTCAAATCAAAAAGAACTCGTTGACTTGTTAGTCGTTTTGATTAACAGTCAGGAAGAATGATCAGCTTGTAGCACATTCGACTTCATGGGAACACACTGAGCGGTGATCCGCTATTGGGAACTGAGATCGAATTCGATTCTCAGTGAGACACTATCCGAGTTGGGTTTTTCCAAAGCTTTAAAATCGAGTGGCACTAATAACGATTATCGCGATTAGTCCACATAAGGACTTACAATCAAAGATTGTTTTGGATTGTCGGTTCAATTGAGAGAAAAACAAGTTATAGGGGTTGGACCTATAGACTGTAACTGATATGAATCCAAGGCTAAAATCTATTTCGATGATCGACGAAATTTGAGACAAAGCGAAAGCCGAAGGCTGATATTTACAATTATAATTTTATTTCAAGTTTACTTTATTTCAATATTATTTTCTTTATTTTTCAATCAAACAAAATCCCCTTTTTATTTTCTTTTGCAGTTCACACCTAAGTCCAGAAGCAAGAATCAATTCATCGGCAATTTCATATTCCCTGCAGATCAACCCTTACTCTCTCTATACTATTTTTTATTTAATTTTTGTTGAGATTAAGGCAAATTTTATTTGACAATTAAAACGATGCGTTGTCATGGTTATTTATGTTGTATTTATGATACTATTTAGTATGTTTGAAAAGAAAATAAACATGTTTTGAAATTCATAGGTTGCCTCGGTAGCCCAGTGTGGCATTTTAGGCCCAATCGGGTTTAGGGTGTTACATTTAGTGGTATCAAAACATCAGGTTGAGTCGGTCCTAAGACCCAGTGGTCGTTTTTAGTAAGGTGTCAGTGAATACATACCCCTAGGTACTTAAAGTACTTGTATAAGCCTTGAATCATGATGGTGCTTCTTTCTTAATCTGTGTTGTAGGGCGTTGCGATAGCCGATAATTCTGAGCATGGTCTTAAGGATACGATGGAGAATCGAGCCTCTCATTCAATCAGTGCCAGTGAAGAGTTTCTGCCTAGGGCAGAAGATCATGAGGTCCCGTTAGACGCTGGAGTTGCTAGTTGTAGACTGAAAGTGAAATGTATGCTTTATACAGTGTTAAAATTGGTCTAGAATGAAACGACAGTAGTGGAATTAGTGAAACATATAAATAAAATGGTGAAATTTAAGCAATTAGCAATGGAGGGCAAGTAAATAGAACAAATTGTATGGGTTGAAATCTATTAAATATAGAATTGTATAGTCCATGCTGAAATAATTGAGGTTTAATCATAAATTAAAGTTCAATGAATTATTTGTTTATTTCTGAAACAATTTATCGGATTGGATTAGTAATTACTTGTGCTTGGGTCAATCAACTTTATATATATATATATATATATATATATATATATATATATATTGAATCTTTCCGTAAAAAAGAAAAAGAAATGAAAGAAGAAACACTCAAATACGTTTTTTTTATTGGATAAAATAACAAAGAAAAAAAGTTAATGGATAGACTCAAACGATAATAAACTTAATATCGTTTAAGTATGTCTTGAGTTTGAGTTTTATGTATAAAAAAAGTTTTGTTGAGAATCGGAAGTGCAACAAACTAACAAAATCAAGGAAAGAAAGAAACGACAAACATAATTTTTATTGAACCCATGAGAACGGTAAAATTTTAAACAAGGGGAATTAACCCTAGCTTATCTCTACTTTGGAGGCTGGGGCCTTGATGTAAGCAACATGGGCTGCATTTGCAACTCTTGTAAGGGTTTTAAGGTCATAAGCCATCCAGCACCTTGAATTTTCCTGGTTGTAAAAGTAACCCATGCACTTGCTGTCCTTGGTACATTTCTTGCCACATTCTTCTTCTTTTATGGCATTCCCTCTGGTGTAACGAGTCATGAAATGATCAACCCCTTCAAGCTTGTAATAGTAGAAATCCTTGTCGTTGCAGCTCGGTAACTTTTGGACATCGCAATCTTTACTCCAACTCATCAGCCCGTTCGGCGACGGGCAAGCCACACATTGGCTGTCATGCACTTGCTGTCCTTGGTACATTTCTTGCCACATTCTTCTTCTTTTATGGCATTCCCTCTGGTGTAACGAGTCATGAAATGATCAACCCCTTCAAGCTTGTAATAGTAGAAATCCTTGTCGTTGCAGCTCGGTAACTTTTGGACATCGCAATCTTTACTCCAACTCATCAGCCCGTTCGGCGACGGGCAAGCCACACATTGGCTGTCCTCACAAAGCCCGAATTTCCCACATCGTTCCGGCAATTGGCATTCATCGTCCCAAGATGGATTTCTATTGGAAAGAGAGAAGGTTACATCCCATGCACTGTCGTATACGTGTTCATAGAAGGTGTATACCTTAATGTTTCCATCCATTTCGAGCCGAAGAAACGAGTACGTGCTGTCGTAGTTGGGTCTTCCGATTCTAAGAGTCCCTCCAAATGAAGAATTAGAATGATACTCTAGATTTAGCCCATAGGAACTTAACATATTCTAAAGGACCCTTTCTAATATTCGAACTTAATATTTTTTATCAAATATTCTTTAATTTTTAGTCTTCTTCAATCTCAATCTAACAACAATTCTATTTATTTATTTATTATATATTCAAAATCGAGCTATATATCATACATACATTCAATATTTTTTATATTTATTCCCTTTTAATTGTATTTAAAGTGTTTTCTTGATAAAATAATAAAAAGAATATATTTTTACAAAATTTAATCATTTTTTATGATTTATTTATGTAATATTAAATTAATTATTCAAAATAATGAAATATAATTTCATAAGAACATATTTTTGAGTTTTCGATCGGTATCCATAAATGTCCGAGGCGGTTGTGCTCAAAATCCACACTTTCACATGATTTTTAAAAAAAATGTATCATCTCGATAGACTGTCATGTTTTCAGACAATTTTATAGTAAAATTACACACAGGCATTCTTGACTCTGACTTTGTCTTCTTCCACCAAGTTAACGCCAACCTTCAAACCTTACGACTTCCTTTATGCCCTTAGGGTGCGTTTGGTTCACGGAATGTAAGATTACCAGTGGGAATGTAAGATTACCAGGGAATAGGATTACTGAAAATGTTGTATTTTGTGTTTGGTTGGCTTAGCAGGAATGTAAGATTACCGTGTTTGGTTAAAGGAATAAAAGATTATTGGAATGTATATTTAATCAAATTGTCCTTATTATATATTTGTTTTCTTAACAAGTTGGAAAATATTTATATATTTTCTTTAAAAAATTTAAATTCATAAAATTTATATAATATTTTTTACAAAATTGAAAATATAAAAATGTTTAATAAAAGGGTAAAATTTTATTTTAACCCCTGAACTTCATTTAAAATTTTAATTATAAACTTTTTTTTTTGTAAATCTAAAATAGTTTAAGGATAAATTTGTAATTTAATATTCGTAGAATTTTTATTATTCAATGACAGAAGAATGATATTTTTGAAAAAAAAATAAGGACATTTTAGTCTAAAACGCTGGTAATCCAATAATACCTAAAGAAAGGGAGATAATGACATTCCCGATAATATACCCCAAAAAATCCATTATTGGTAATCTTACATTACCGGAAATGGGATTCCCGGGCTAACCAAACGGGAGAATGTGGACTTCATCACATGGGAATCTCACATTCCCCCCTCCAAACGTCCCTTTAATCTTTTTTATTCCTAACTAGTTTTCGATAATTATTATTTTTTATTAGTTTGAGTGTCAATAAATATTCAAATACTCATGTAATCAACGTGTTGGAACTCGAGTCTTTTATCTATTGAGATGTTTGGTTCGTGCTATTTATATCAATTATGTTTATATAATTTAAGATTCTTTTTCTTGTAGTTGGATGGATGTATCAAAGATTTCACTATAGCTATTTTTGTTCCCCGTGTAAGTATGAGATATCGATTTGTAGGGCATTTCCATTAGGTTGGTCCATGGCAGAAAGCTGCAGGTCTGGTTTTCAACTCGAAGGGAGTGTCAAAGGAAATTATGGCGGCCAACCAGCTGTAGACTAGATTACATGCATCTCCTCCCTCTCATGAATCTTGTTCAAAAAGTAAACGCCTTATCCAACCTAACAAAAGAAAACCTTAATGATGTTGAAAAATGAACTGCTTTTTAGTTAGAATATATAGAATGAGGACCAGAAGTGGAAGTATCACATTAAAAGTGTAACCAAAGTAGAGGTGCTAATTATATTTTATAGTGAACAAAATGCAAAACAATATGCAATATAAATATAATATATGGTATGCGATGAACACCATACATCTGATCAGAAGAGAGAGAAGCCATCCTTAAGACTACAATAATGGCAAGTCCATTGAATGTGGAGGCTGCTGATCATGTTGTAGTTCACAAGAAACCAGTGGAAGGTGTTGGAAAAAAGTTATGGATTTCGCAGAGGCTAAGATTCAAATTTTGTTTGCGGTTCCATTAGTGTTATCCAATGTTTTTTCCTCCTCGATTACTATTGTTTCTGTCATGTTTGCTGGTCACCTTGTGAGGTCGAGCTTGCTGCTTCAACTCTCGCCAATTCGTGGGCCGCCATTACTGGTTTTGCTTTCATGGTAACCTCTCAGTGTAACCTAAATCCGGATGATGTTCTTGTCTGAAATTTTGTTGTTTTCAGGTTGGTTTAAGCGGAGCACTGGAGACCCTTTGTGGTCAAGGATTTGGTGCAAAAATGTACAAAATGCTGGGGATTGACCTTCAAGCTTCCTTCATCATTTCATTCCTTTTCTCCATTATCATATCGATTCTATGGTTCTTTACTGAGTCAATCCTTGTTCTGCTTCATCAAGATCCTGAAATCTCTAGAACTGCTGCTCTTTACATGAAGTATTTGATTCCTGGTTTTGCTTTTGGTTTTCTGCAAAACATGCTGAGGTTTCTTCAGACACAAAGCGTAGTTATACCTTTGGTCGTGTTTTCTGCCATTCCATTCGGTATCCATTTTGGAATCGTTTACAGTTTGGTAAACAAGACAAGTCTAGGTTTCAAGGGTGCTCCCATGGCGGTTTCAATATCGACATGGATATCGTTCCTTTTGTTAGCTATGTATGTCGTTTTCGCCGACAAATTTAAGAACACGTGGAAAGGATTGTCTGTTGAATCATTTCAGTACATCATACGGAACTTGAAATTAGCCCTTCCTTCCGCAGCAATGTTTTGGTGAGCATTCAACCCGAATCATGCATGTTCCAACCATTACTATCCAATATTTGTATTGGACATACATACTTACATACATGCATATATATATATATTGATTTAAATACTTGAAATCTTGTGCCAGTTTGGAGGGCTGGGCTTTTCAGATTCTTGTGTTTCTAGCTGGTTTGATGCCAAACCCAGAAATAACAACTTCACTGACAGCAATATGGTAGGCTTTTCTGTTTTTATATGTAAATACATTTCTCTTATCCATTTTTACAGAGCTTCAATCATGGCGGATGATTGTTCTCTTGATACCATATGCAGTGTAAATACCGAGAACATTGCCTACATGGTCACATATGGTCTTAGTGCTGCAGCAAGGTTAGTTTTCTTGCACTAAATTGGATTTATTTTACTCGGTTCTGCAGCCCTCAATTATTGCTTTTTTCACAGCACAAGAGTGTCGAATGAGTTGGGAGCAGGGAATCCAAAAAGGGCAAAACATGCTATGATTGTGACACTCAAACTCTCTGTCCTTGTTGCACTTGCAGTGGTCCTTAGTTTAGCCCTGGGACACAATGCTTGGGTTGGTTTATTCAGTAATAGCCATTCAATAATCAAGAAATTTGCAGAGATGACGCCATTGCTTCTCGTCTCAATAGCAATTGATGCCATACAAGGCATCTTATCAGGTTCAAAACACATCATATATATATATATATATATATATATATATATATATATATCAAAACTCGTCTTAATTATGTATTAAACATGTTCATTTCGTATTCTTATATTGTGTTACGTGATTGAAATTATCAAACGTGATTTAAAATCATGTTGCAGGGGTTACAAGGGGATGTGGTTGGCAAAACTTGACGGTCTTGATTAATATAGGGGCTTTCTATTTCTTTGGCATGCCAATTGCGGTTCTTCTTGGATTTAAATTTAAACTTTATGCTAAGGTAAGACAATTATGTGATTTATAAAACGAACCCCAATTTTATCATTAATTTTTAAAATTATAATTAGACATCCTTTTGATTAAATATAACTATTATAATTTTTATTAAATATGCTATAAATTGTGTCTTCTCCAACTTAACTATTTTTTTCATTGTGATTTATTCAGGGTTTATGGATAGGCTTAATATGTGGTCTATCATGCCAAGCTTGCACCCTTATGCTGATTATATTTTATAAAAAATGGACAAAAATTAATCTTTCAGGCAAGAATAATAATGAAACCCAAGCTGTTTAATTTCTCTTTTTGTAACATGTTCCATTTCTTCCTTGTACTATATTTGGATTGGAATCAGAAATAGTTGGCCATAACGTTTCAGATTACTGGACATGCTTATAAAATTCTATAAGACTGAAATATATGATAATTTGAAATTTTTAAGGAGGCAGTCGACCCCATCGACTCCATGTCCGTCCTAAGTACAAGTACCGTACTATAAAAGCTTAGTTTAAGGATGAATAATCAAACTAAAGTCCAGTTAAAAGAAACAAACAAGTTCATTCAACTGTATAAAGCCAACAAAGATACACGAGCATCTACAAATTGATAATTTAAAGAAAATGGAGACTTACTAATCAACAACTCCACGTAAAGCAATTCTTGAATTACTCATTTCCATTCGGATCAACTACATGAGATGATAGAAAAGCTCTTCGAGCAGGCACAGGCCACCATCTGCTAAGACCGAATCCGAAACCGGATTTCGATTTTTTATTGCATGTGTCCCTCACTTCATCATAAAGAATGGTGTAGTTTGAGCTGCTAACGTTCCTAGAATAGCAAAATCTACCACCACGATAGTTATATGATTGTTGGGTACTCGCCACTCCACGGACAACCAGGTTGTCCTTTACCACCATAACACCCTTTCCATTCTGTAAATTCTGGAGTGAACTGCTCGGTGAACCGGCACCAGCGTCGTTGAACTTCTTCTCGTTAAATCCCAATCTGACATTAGCCACAGATAACGAAGTGCCATTTCCTTGATCAATTTCGTCGGAGTACATGTAGAAAAGAAACCTCTTGAGAGATTTCTTTGATATGGCATTAGGAGCCGGATTGTTCACATTAACACTATCATTAAAATGGGTGATCTGATTTATGATCTGCAGACTTTCATTCACCACCATGGTGTTACCATAACTTAAATCTTGAGTGGCTTTGGTTGTGACCTTCCCGTAACTGGACGTTACCCATCCCGTCGAGGATATGAACCTAGTCGTATTCGTAACGAACGTTCCATTTAAACCTTTAAAGTCTAACACAGAAGACACACCGAGAGGAACAATTTCATACTGCAAAACCTTCCCTTCGGTCTTCGAGCTCTTACTATCTAACCATAGATGCAAATTGGCATCAATATACCACACATTCAAGGCATTTGTAACACTAAAGCTTAGGTTATGGAGTTTTCCATCCAATAGATTCCCCAAAAATGGGGTGATTTCGATATCGTAACTAGGGAGATCGAACGAACCGATGGCACTAATCGGTCTCCACAAGAGGGGATTGATTCCACCGGTGAAAACCACAGTGAAAGGCCAAATAGCACCAACAACATCACCATCCAAACCAACCACGACTTCCCTAAAAGGTCCATTCCCTGCATAACCCGTAAGATTATTGGCAGCAATGTACTCATTCGGAAGATTTCCATACCAAAACTCATCATTCTCATGAAAGGACACATACACTTCCAGTACTGCTCGATTTACATTCTGAGGAATTTCGAATTCCTTCACTTTCACATCACCGGCATTCTGAATCTCATACCACAAACCATCATTCAATGGCAAATCTCGCGAAAAGGGTATAATCAGATCAGCCTCAGAATCAATTCCAGACCCTAAATTCCTCCTCTTTTCCTTAAAAAGATCCATTTTTTCCACAGCAGGGTAAAAATAAAGAGTCACATTGACATGGTAAACACCGGTATAAGTTCTATCGACAAGATTCCCCAAATAAACGGTAAAAGTTTGAGTCTTGTTGGATAAAAGCAAGGAAGAATACCTGGTGATATCCTTTTGGACAGTCCAGAAAATACCAGTAGCTCTGGGTTCAGCTGTACAGCTCCTGAGGAGTTCCACTCCAGATAACCAAACCCCGAAGATCCTATCGAATTGTCTTCCTTTACAAGTGGCATTCCACTCCAGGACAATCTTGGAAAATTCCTGAAAGGGGCAATCAGATGGGAAGTTATAGTCAGCCAAAACAGGGGATTTACCATAAGTGAAGCCGAAGTCGTGTTGAAGAAGGGTGAGGGAACAGGGCTTGGAGTGGGGGACTTGGATGGGTTTGGTGACTTCGAAAAAGAGAGTGGGTGGGATGGTTTCATTGGTTGATGGTGGCTGGGAGAAAAGGGAGGATCTGAGGAGGGTTTTGGAGTTGTGGAGATTGGCTTGGCTGAAGAAAGGGTCGAGAAATAGAAGGGGAAGCAAGTACAACAATGGGTTTAAAGTGAAAGAAGCCATGGATGGTTTGGCGGGCATGGAGTAGAGTGATTTGTTGATGTTGCTGCTTTCAAAACCTACGCAATCAGATTCATATGGATTCTGCAGAATCCAAGACACACCCAAGAAGGGTTAACTATACACAAAACGACGTCATATTGCTTAAATATATTATTGAAATATTGAAATTTGAAGGGATTTGAAATCTAGGTACCCATGGAAAAAGATCTTAATCCTTAACCATTGGGCTGCCTTGATTTTCTTGTTATTTTTCTATAAAAATTTTAAAAATTTAAAATTCTAGTTAAGATTAACTCTAAAATTTTAAATAACCTAAGGACTGAACCTAAAACTTTTAACTATATTTTCTCTCTTCTCCACCGAAACGTATCTGCAACAGTCGTTGACGAGGGAAAGGAAGAAACAACCGAGCTAGACAGTAGATTCTTCTGACGAATTGAGGGTTTATCATACGATGAAAAAATAGTCTGAAAAAAATATAAAAAAGGGAAACGAAAATAGATTGATAAACAACAAGTACGAGTAAAGCACAAGGGATGAAAGGCAAACTAGTAACACACACAAACTCTCTCTCTCTCTCTGCTTTAGGTTTCTCTCTCCCTTTTATGTTCTATCTCCATGACAATAAGACTGAATAAAACAAAAATTCCTTAAAATTTTAAAAACAAAGCAAGTCAAAACAATCAAGAAGGCAAAAATATTCACTGTTTTTTTATTCAAGCTGTGAAGAATAAAGGCATGGATTTTCTGCATGACAATGTTGTTATTATAAGGCGACGGATAAAGAAGGAAAGCAAGTATTATCACTGTAAACTACCCTGATAAAACTGGTTTAGACTGTGATTTATATCACATCTTGTTCTTATTGGGTTTTTTTAAAAGAAAAATTAACTTGTTCTTGTGAAGATGCATCTACGGATAGGAAATAGTGTTATATAGTGTTTTTGGGTGGTTTATAAGGCAACAATAAGATGGGAATTGTTGAAGAAAAGACTAGTTGGAGCTTGCCCTTGTTCCTATTCTGCTTCTGAGATATTTTTTATTACAGTTTTGAATTGCTATTTCTCAAGCTTAATTTGTTCTTATTACGGTTTTAAAGCACAAGTTAAGGTAGCCTAATGGTTAAGCATTAAAATTTATTTCTATGCGTTTAAATCCACTCAACTACAATATTTCAATATTTTTTAAAAGCAAAACTATGTCATTTTGTTTGTATTGAGCTCTAAATTAGTTGTGTCAAAACGTCGTTTTGGTGAGACATTCACGTCAGCACCGTCACGGCGTAAAACTGTCATGTTATCGTGTCATTATATCATTAAGGACATAGTAGTATAATTGCACTTAAAAGTAAACGTTATTATTAAAATTGACAAAATTAAAACGTTGGTGGTATAAACGAGTCAGCGCTTAAATGTTGGTGGTATTTGAAGTAGTTAACCCTAATATAAAATTTTAATAATCAAACTATGTTTCGAAAAATGTTTTAATATCTAAATAATTTTTGTTAAAAATAGGTGCTAATGTTTTTCAATTATATTTTTAGGTATTTATCGTTATATATATTTTTTAATTTTTTAACTTTTTAAATTATAAAAGTATTTTTTAGAAAAGAAAAAAATAAAAAGCTTAATTTATTTATAAAAAAACTAATTTTTTTTTACTAAAATTATAAAAAAGCTTTAAAAAATTTAGAATTTCTCATTCCAACACCATTATCAACTGATGTCAGTCATCTTCAGTCATTATCTTCACCGCCGAACGATTGGGTTCTGATCATAATTGCATGGTGGTGGCGGTGTGCCTTATAGACTTCGAAATCGACAAAGAACATCGACGGTGACTTAAAATCTAATGAACCTTTGAACGCTTCTCCACTGCAAACGCTGGCAGATTACGACAATAGGCTAACGAGAAGTTGATTGGGGTCAACGCCGACGTTGATGACGACGGTGGTGACGATTACGGCTAACTGGCTTACGGCTATGGGATGGTGAAGGGAGAAGCGGGGAGAGAGCACGGGTTGCTGTTTGGTTTTTGTTTTTTCTAAATATTTTTTTTATATTTTTTTATTTTTTAAAATAAATTCTCAAAATTACTAAAATGTGACACGTGTCACTTAACAAAGATTATTAACGTCGATTGACGTATGAACACCTAAAAATATAACGTTGGAAACATTAAAGACATATTTTTAACAAAAATACTTTAAGCACTAAAACATTTTTTCAAAACTAGTTTAGACGCTTAAATTTTGTATTAAGCCAAAAGAAAATTAGAGTTTAGTCAAACTGTAAATTAAACTAAATAGACGGTAAGTTATTTAGTTTTTTATTCATTTACAGTTTAATTAATTTTAATTTTAATAGATTTGATTAAATTTAAGTTTAAGTTAAATTCTTAATAAGTCGAGATAAATTATTTATATTTGACTTGAAAAACTTATTAACAACTTAAAAAATAATATATTAAAATTTTAATTTTTAAAATTAAATTATTAAAAAATAAAAATTTCTTAATTCTAACTTGGAATTTGTGGTAAAAACGTTTCAATGGATTTGCACCTGAGCACATCTAAATGCTATATCAATTATCATAAATTTCTTGTAATTCTTTTTTTTTTACGGCTTATAATTACCGCTGAAATGAGAATCATCGGTGGGATGTATATCTGAATGCAAAACCAGCTGTGACAGTGAGATCATCGATTCCACCAACAAAACTTTATCCGCATTCCTTGCAATCATATCCATATCCTGTAACAGTGATCCGAAACGAATCGATGTAAGCAGCCAAAATGATAGTGAATAAGTTACAGCCGAGTTCACCCCAAGTACCCGTAGGTACATTTTAGAAGCCTCTGTCATGATGTTTGACTTAGCTTTGTAGCCTCCTCCAGCAGTTTGCTGGTTGAATCCCGTACTTCCTCCGGAACTCTGAGCTTCGGGGTGCACTTGGTCTAAGGCATATAAAATGATAACCTTCATGACATCGACCAGAAGCAAACTCTTTGTTGTAATTCCCCACACACCCTCATTAGCATACCTGCACGAATCCTTTAACACGCATCGACTGCAAACCTGAAGAGAAGTGATCACAATATTTTAACTAGATATAAAGAAGGTTTTACTTGTTTCAAGTATTGAAACAATGCCTTACAGTGCCTTCTTGAATTTTAAAGATTTTTCGCAATCTCTTAGCAGCAAAGACATTGGTTTTATCCAGGGAAGGGCAGCCAAAGGCCGCGACTTTCTTCAAGCGTGTGCCCGACAGCCATCTGAAAATACAATGTTGATGTCATTTAGTGAAGATTCCCCCAAACTACGTGAAATTATCAAGTGTTTCTGCTCTTAATAACAGCCAAACATAACACGAAGAACATCAATCAGGCAACATACATTTAACAATATCAAATCCAAAATGAAAAAGGACAAAGGGGAAAACATGTTCTTACTTTGCAATCTCTTGATGATCTTTAGCAAACTCGTAAGCAGAAAACTTGATAAAACCTCTAGCATAATTATTATCAAAGTGCCCAAAATCCAACTTGTTGTCCTCCAAGAAATTAGCTTTGTGAAAATACCCTATTGAAAACAAATACCTAACGAAAGCCTCAACAAAAACCGAAAGATCCTTCAAAGCTGTTACCTCCCCGGACTCTCTCCTCGGTTTCACAATCCTTTTCACTTTTTCTTCCTTCCTTTCACCCCCAAACAACCCAACCAAACTGTTAACTTTCCAGGGTATGTCCCCCTCAACTTTCTCTTCGGCTTCCTTTTCGGGCTTGAACTCCCCAACTTCTCTATCCAACTCCCTTGATTTGCTCATTAGCCTATTATTTTCGTCTTGGCTCTGGCTTTCTCTTTCACCAACCTTTTCAGTTAAACCAACAGTTTCTTCAAACAACAGAGAAAGTGGCTTCTCGGTTGGTTCCGGGGAGACAAACAAAGGGTTCTGATCATAAAGGACGGTGGAGGAGGGAAGAGTTTGTAAAGAGAGCTACGGGTTTTGAAGAGAGCTTTGGTTTGGTTAGAAAGTAGTAGAGTTTTAAAGAGATACAGTTCGTAATGGAGGGGTTTTAGAAGGATCTTAAGGTTCAGAGACAGAGTGGCTATGGGATTTTTGCGTACGATGCCATAGAAGAATCTGCAGAGCTATAGAGAAAATGGGCGAAACATCGGTCCTTTATTAGGGACCCAAAGCTGGACCGTAAACCAGCCCATTACCTGAAGAAACCAAAGCTGCGGTTTCATACATCAATATGCTTTCATTACTAGTTTTGTTCAGAAGGCCCATTACCTCAAGTATGTAAAATATTCGATACATAGAATATCTATTTTTTTTGTTAATCCCAGGAAAATACAATATAATATCTATTTAAAGATAATTCTTAATCATTTAATATTAAACACGTTAAACTCTTATATCACTGACATTCATGATGCTTGAACTCGAGACCTCAAGGAACAACAACAATTCTTTTACCAGCGAGGTGTCTTGATTCGTACAAAATATCTAAAATTTAGACTACATAATTTTACATATTCTAATTGTAAACCCACAACTTTAAATTCGTCACTTAAATAAACAATATTATTTAATCTAAATTTTGCGCACTCTATATATATATATATATATATATATATATATATATATATATATTAAAGTACAAAAACATAAACATAAAAGTTCTCATTGGTGTAAAATATTACTATAATATAAAAAATAGTTCTCTCTCAAAATAATTTAGTTTTATCTTATTGGTGTGCCACCGCCTCTTCTTTTTTGTCTTTGTTGATCAATGGCAACATTAATTTTAATGTTGGTTACCGAATGTCGGTATTATTTATTTCCTTTTTCTTTTCTATATCGTATATTTATTTTCTTTTTTTATTCTCAACAAGTCTGCTTATGTTTCACGTTTACATCTATTTTTATGACACGTTTTCTTATGCATTTTGTCATGTTTTTCTGTTATTTGGTCGTATTTTCATTTATCATTTTCTAAGGGTTTATTTGACTTTGACACAACTGATCAAGATGGATTTTATCTAATATCTTGTGATATTCTTTGTTTTAACCTTCAGATTGGATTTGAATACTCGCTTTTCGTTCGTTGATAGCTTTTTATGTCGTTCGAGTTTGATTTGTGGATTTTCGGTGTCTTTCAATAGTTTAATCCCTTTTGTGATTCGTTTGTCGATGTGATCAAATCTGTTTGTATTTATATTTGTTCGAGTTTTCTTGGTTAGATTTAATCTTTCCTTGTATGGTCCTTATGCGATCTTAAATCGCTATATTTGTTTCAATGATTATAGGAAATTTCCTTAATTATATGTTTAATTTATTGTGATTGTAAATCTTTATTTTAATTTAGAATATTTCTTATTTTGAATAAAATTAATTGTTTCTTTTTAAAAAAAAGTTCTCTTTAGTGTGTTGCTCATCCATTTTTTTTATTATTTGCTACGGTACCAACTTTAATGTTGGTTACCGATCGTGGATTTTTTTTTCTTCTTATATCATATTTTTTTATTTTCAATAAGTTTGCATTGTGACATTTTTTTCATTTGCTTTTATTACACGTTTTCTTCTTTCTTTTGGCATGTTTTTCGGTCGTTTGACTTTTTTTATTTATCTTTTTCTAATGATTGATTTGACATTATCACAACTAATCAATATGACACTTATCCGATATCATACTTATTTTCTTGCTTAGGGCTCTCGGATTGGATTTGGATACCTAATTCACTTTCGTGGATTGTTTTTCACGTTGCTCGAGTTTGATTTTACGGTTTTTTTCGTGGTCATTTAGTAGCTTGATCCTCCTTTGCGGTTCATTTGCTGATACGAGATCTTTTTGTATCTATCTTTGTTCAGAATTCTTGGTTAGATTTTTAATCTTTCCTTGTATGATATTTATATGATTTAAATTGTTAGTTTGTTTAATGATTATAGTAAATTGTCATGACTATGTGCTTAATTTACATTTTTTATGGTAAATCTTTATTGAAATTCAAGATATTTTCGGCACCGTTATTGGATTCCACGTGGGTGTGGATTCAAATGGAAACAAAGAAAGTTTTGTGGTCAACGTCAAAAATAACATTTATCTCATATTAATATAATATTTAAAGCGTTTAACTAAGTATTTGAAAGAGAAAATAACCTCAGTGACTAAAAATGCCTTATAATATACGATTTTAACCAATTTTTTTTGGATTTCCCAAAATGACCAACTAAATCGCAATGCGATAATTCGCAATGCGATCTCCGGTATCGCAAATCAGTTTCCAGATTCGCGTTAAATCGCAACGACTGGTGGTATTGCATTTGTTTCTTAAGAATTTTCTCTAAAAAAATAGTATTCACGCGGACGTGTCGAAGACACGTATTACCACGACCACGACCACGACCACGACCACGACCACGACCCCGACCCGAGACAGACGGCGGCGGCGGCGGCGACACGCGAGAGTCCCCCTTATTCTCTATCACTCAACAAGGAAGTGAGAAGGTCAAGCCTTAAATACCATTCCCAATAGTGTTTCCAATACTTTGTGGGATTGAGCATTACCAACATTTGTTCCTAATACTATGTGGGATTGAGCCTTAAATAGTGATATTATTTGTGAATTATAGTTAATGACTTTAGTATTTGTATGAAATTATTTGTGGTTTGTTTAGTTTTCATGCAATTCTAATTTATTTTCAATTGATTGTAATTGCACGATAACAATTTTTTTTATTCTCGCGAGTGATGCAATGTTTTTTGAATGTTTTGCTTAAAATTGCAATAATCGCGATTGATTGTAGATTGACTTTTAATTATGACATATTTAATCGTATGATACTAATGCAATTGGTTGTTGATTCAGTTGTTTTAAGGTGCATAATTTTTAATTGTTTCTTGAATAATAACATAGCATTGAAAACAAGTGTTGGTAATGCTCAATCTCACATAGTATTGGAAACACTATTGAGAATGGTATTTAAGGCTTGGTTTTCTCACTTCCTTGTTGAGTGATAGAGAACAAGGGGGACTCTAGCGCCGCCGCCGTCCGTCTCGGGTCGTGGTCGTGGCCGTGGTCGTGGTAATACATGTCTTCGACACGTCCGCGCGAATACTATCTTTTTAGAAAAAATTCTTAAGAAACAAAATTTTAGACTATCGCAACGAATTTAGAATAAATCGCAACGAACTTGGAATAAATCGCAACACGAACTTCGACTATCGTAACGAAATTAGAATAAATCCCAACGCGAATTTAGACTATCGCAACGAACTTGATAACAACATTTTTTGTCACTAAAATTATTTTCTCTATTTAAAATTGTCTTTAAGAGAAACATGAATAAAATAAATGGTGGGAACGTAAAACAGAAAATAACGGAAAATGGCCCAACCTTTGACGGTTGCTTTTCGCTCCATGTCCGAAGAAAAATATATTTTTGTGTGATTTCCCATTCTTTACTCACCAAGCTTCCACCATTGTTTCTCTTACTCCTGCAAACATCAAATCAAATATCCGCTCAAAAATGAAACAAATTTATCGCAGTTTTTTTAAGGAAATGATCGTTTGCATTGGAGAAGTGACGGTAGTTGGGGATTTGATATTTGAAGCTAAACAATAGTTTATTGCTTTTTTTCTCCGCTCGGTAATCGTTTGATAAACGATACTTCTTTTCAAGGTAAGAAATCTTAAGAAGCTTTACTTTTACCATTTATTGTTTGATTCTTTTTTCCTTTTTTTCCAATTAAATTTAGGAAAAGGAGGGCGCCAAATTGGACTGTTCATAAATATACATACATATATATATTATATACATGTATAGTTTTCTGTATCAGTAGTGATCTTATTTTCCTTTTTTTCTATCGTTTTTCATCTTAGGTTCATTGGGGGAGGTAAAGGTTAAGTGTTCTTCTAACAGTTTCTCATTAGCTTAACTTCGTTTTTTTGTTTTCTGGGTTCCAGTTGCTTTTTCTCCTTAATTCGCTTTTTTTAGTGGCTCTACTCTCTGTTTGTTTCTCTGTCTGATTCTTAACTGTTTTGATTAATTAAATCTCAAGCAAACATAATCCATAAATCGAAACGTTAAACTCTGTTTAAAACACGTTTGATGTCTCTCAAATCTCACGACTTTTTAAGACTGAATAAAAAAGGGTTAAGCTTTCAATCTGTTAAACATGTAAATCTTAATCTAAACACATGCACGTGTAATTCCCACCGAAAACTAAAAACTAGGGGTTTATTTAGGCTAGTAGGTGTAGGACAAACTCCGCAAAAGGCTTCTACTTACAGGACAAAATAGGCACAAATCTCGGTAAATATAAAAAGATGTTGCAGAAATCCTACGGATGTTTAAGGCTGTTGCACTGCAGAAAGAAAGCATCTGTGCAATGCATTGTTTTTTCTACTATTATTAATTAGAGTATGCGATTGTTGTATAGTTTCAAAATCTGAATGTTCATACATAGCAGCATATAATGATAAATTAGAAAGATTGTCATATGAATTTTAGCATGTCTGTATGCTTTCGTTATATTGCAGACTTTGTTTTATGCTTCTGTTATATCATATTGGTATAATTGCATCATATTTAAGATTACCATATGAGGAGTATAAAATATGCAAAGCTCGTGAATATGCTGCAGCTGTTTCATATTAGATTTTGCACTTTGGTGGTCCCCCAAGGACCCTTCCCAAATGAACTCAGCTTACTTTATTTTTAGAGTTATTTTAGTCTGTGAATTGTGAATGCATATACCCTTAATAATTCCATGGGGGTTAAAATATAGCCAATTGTTAAAAATGATGTGCCACTTTGGTGGAAATTTCAAGTGGTTCATGGACCACATTTTTCTTGGGGGAGGGGGTGTCCTGTTGTCAACTTTGCTCATATGTAACTAGAATATTTTGTAGGGTTTGTCTCTTGTATCCTGTAAAAATACAGCTTATCTTAATTTAGATTTGTGCTCAAGTTTCAAGCCTTCTTTACCATCTTATCAGTATAGTTTTGGGGCATGTTTATTGTTTAGATCACCCCCCAAGTCATCGAATGATTTTTCTATTCCACTTTCCTCTTCGTGTTCTTCTGCGTTTGTCTTCACCTTTCTTTTCCCGCGTTGTTGAAAAGTATTCATTTTTTTACTCTGTCAAAAGAAGGCTAATTAGAAGCTAAAAAAAGTTCAAAACAACTAACAAAAAGCAAATTCCATTTTCCATTAAAGATCTTGGTCTGTGTTAAAGCGTCTTGCTTTTTATTCTTTTCAGTCAACACGCTTGTGACCTCTG